TTAACTACATTTAATATAATTATTCAATTATATTAATAAATAAAAAATCTGATTAAATACAAAACTTTTATTAAATTAAGAACCATCAAACACGAAAACCGAACAAATAAGTGGTCCAGTTACACCTCTAACTGAAAAACCTGTCAATATATTGAAAAAACCTCTGTAATACCTCAAAAATCCACATTTTCAGAACATGAGAATGGACTCATTGATACCTGGAAATATACAGGGGAGCAAAGAACAACATTCAGCTACAATTTCTTTAATTTCAAATTTGCCATAACTAAAATAAATAAAAGATTACATAGTACAGAAAGCAGACCAACACCGATTCGTGCACACACTTGTAGCATCGAACCCGGCCTTTGGACGTCTTCTATTCTATGTTAATGTAGGTAACAATTAATTGTACATTTACATCTAAAAAATGGTGTGTTATATTATGATTTCGGACTCGATTCCCCCAAAAATTGTACAACAATCCACTCGATTACTTGGTGGGTCTCGGAAGTTCTTCAAGATCTTCCCATCAGGTACTCCATTGCCAACAAGCATACAAGTCACTTCCTGCAACACACCTTTTATTTTTAGAATACAAATGTATCCCCAGGACTAATCAAATAATCAAACAAGTTCAAATATTTTGATGTTTTAAACAAATAGAAAGAAAGTATCTTCTTCCCAAAGAAGTCATATCCCCGGGCACCAACGATTGTGGTTCTTTTCAGTCCATTTGTCCAACAAAATTTCATGAAACATTTTTACCATAATGAATTATTAGAAACTTTTTCATGAAAGAATTTCACTAAAATAAACAATGAAATCGACGGTTTTCACGGTTTGTACAAAAGGCTTGGTTCGTATAAAATATCCCTCCCATATATATATATATATATATATATATATATATACATTGCTTGCATTGCCTTGGTTGTACAACAAAGAGCAATATATACTGTTTGTTCATAAGGTTGATCCCTCATAGCAAACACCATGGTTTACTTGCTGGTAGTATTTTAAATTTCATAAAGTTGATCCCTCATACCGAGAGTTAGTTTGATCTTATTTTATCCAATGATGCAAACAATCAAACCCCAAAACTCAAATCTTGAAACAGATGCAAGCATTAATTACTAAAGTTGCAAAATTCAAACCATCATAACATGCAACAATTCACACATTCAGTTTCAGCAAAAGTTACCTGTCACATGTACTCCTTGGTGGTCAGCACTAACTCATGGTATACCACCCATCAAGGAAGTATAAGTTGTACACCTAATTACACTCATCATGTAGTTCATTTTTAGATTAATATTCGTTCAGAAGCATGTTTGAATACTGCAGATATGAGGACTCTCTTGGTACCCACTTTGAGATCATGTTCGTGTTCAGACATGCTATCTTGCCGCACTAATACATTCAAATAACGCACATCATAGTTTCTTCGTTAGCATGTGTAGCTTGTGGCTGGGCTGAGAAACCAAAAATAGACACAAAATTTTAGCTTATTTCCATCGCTCAACAGTCCACAAGTTGGAGAATAGATATCAATCATTCCAAACGTGACAATTCTTGCCAATGGAGTACAACCCAAACAACAAAACCAGTAAATGAAGCCTTTTAACAAACACTTGACATTGTTCAAACAATACAAAATCAGTAAATGAAGCCTTTTAACAAACATTTGGCATACATAAGCAAAACCCAAACAGATAAATGAAAGCAATACAAAATCAGCAAAACCCAAACATGTTAAAATGGTCTATATTGATCAATTCTTGCCAATGGAGTACAATCTAAACAGAAATTATAGGCTTAAGATTTTTAAGATTTTCTTGATCAATTCTTGCCAATGGAGTACAACCCAAACAACAAAACCAGTAAATGAAGCCTTTTAACAAACACTTGGCATACATAAGCAAAACCCAACCAGATAAATGAAAGCAATACAAAATCAACAAAACCCAAAAGCAAAACCCAAACAGATAAATGTTCATACATGAAATAGCAGATGGAGAGCGATGGTGATGGGAGGGACGATGGACGATTGAACGGTTCAACCTGAAATAGCAGATGGAGAGCGACGGTGATGGGAGGGACGATGGCGATTGAACGGTTAAAGGAAAGCGAGGGACGACTCTTAAAGGGAATCATCTTGGGGAGGGAGAGAAATCTTGAATTGTCGTCTTGGGAGCCGGGTAAGCGGAAACGTG